GAGCTTCATTTCCACCATCATGGCAGGACAAGAGCCAGATGGCTCCGAGCCGCCTTCACCACGAACTACCCGCCGACACCAGCCCCTGCCCCGAAATCGTTCCGCAGGCGAACTCGATGAACGAACTCCTTTACTCACGACTTCAAGATCGCACATTCGGATCAGCACAGCAACCTCGAGTCGTCAGCAAAGGGGTACCTTATCGCGGGAGCACAGTTACTTGGGTTCGTAGCACCATGGTACACGTACCATCTTGAATCTTGCTAATCGATTCCCCTTTATACAGGTGCTTATCATGGCTCGCGAAATCACAGTAGACATCCCTCATGGAGTTCGAGATTGGTTAATGCCCTCTCAGATCGGCACGAGTCCTCCATGACCGAATCCAAGGGCACCATCTTCCCGGACGAGCGCATGTGGTACGATCAATTTACCAGCACCGACTGGGTCCACGATGCCATCGCCGATTCTTACAGAGTCAAAGAACTGCGAAGTCGCAAGGACTTCTGGGGCAGGCTGCGCGTTATCTTTGACGGTGCTCAGGGCTGGATCTTGAGCGCTTTATGTGGCTTCATTGTCGCATTGATGGCTTACACTGTTGATGTTGCTGAATCTACTGTCTTTGATTTCAAAGACGGTTACTGCACCAGGGGTTGGTATCTTAACAAAAAGGTTAGTAGATTGGAGGCATTGTCTTCTACCATGAAATATGTCGACTGACGCTGGCAATAGAGATGCTGTCCCGGTATTACATGCGACGACTGGGCAACGTGGTCATACAAGCTGAACAACCCCTTTGGGGAGATTTGGAGCAGCTTCGTGATTTATATGGCTTTTGTCCTTGTTCTTTCTGCAATTGCTTGTTGGATGGCGCTGTGGACCAAGACCGTTGTTCCGTCGGCGTACCAATTGACAACTCTTGACGAGAACCTGGCGGTCGATAACGTTCACCAGACATATGACGATTCGAACGAAAGCGAGGCATCAACACCTCAGCCGCAAAACGATCCTAAACCTGAGAACCCACCCATGGTTTACTATTCAGCGGCTGGCAGTGGAGTTGCTGAGGTTCGTGTCATCCTGAGCGGTTTTGTTCTGCACGGTTTCCTTGGTGCCAGAACTTTGATTGTCAAACTGGTAGCCTTGATTTTGAGTGTCGCATCTGGTATGAGTCTCGGAAAAGAGGGTCCCTACGTCCATATGGCCGCCTGCGTGGGCAATATTGCATGCCGAATCTTCTCAAAATACGATCGAAATGATGGCAAGCGAAGAGAGATCATCTCGGCTGCTGCGGCGGCAGGAGTTGCTGTTGCCTTTGGTGCTCCCTTGGGCGGTGTACTGTTTGGCTTAGAAGAGGTTTCATACTTCTTTCCAGCTAAGACATTGTTCCGCACTTTCTTTTGCTGCATTGTTGCTGCTTTGTCTCTCAAATTCCTCAATCCATATGGTACTCACAAGATTGTGATGTTTGAAGTGAGATATCTGGTCGACTGGGAATACTTCGAGCTCGCCAGCTTCATTTTCGTCGGTGTCATTGGAGGGGCATTGGGTGCTCTGTTCATCAAAGCCTCCAAGTATTGGGCTCAATCCTTCAGAAAGATCAAGGTGATCAAGAAGTACCCCTTGTTGGAAGTGCTTCTTGTTGCTTTGGTGACAGGATTGATGAGCTATTGGAACTCCTTGACAAAGCTTCCGGTCGCCGAACTGCTTCTGAACTTGGCTTCGCCTTGCGAAGGCTCCAACATTGACTGGGAAGAAAGGGCTCTGTGTCCTGGTTCTATTGACGAAATCCCCCCTATCCTTTCCCATTTATTTGTGGCACTCTTGATCAAGGGGTTCTTGACAGTGATCACGTTCGGAATTGTAAGTTCTCAACCCAACAGGCAAAAGCATAAACTGATCCGTAAAACAGAAAGTCCCTGCCGGTATCTACGTGCCGTCCATGGTTGTTGGTGGTCTGATGGGCCGGATCGTCGGTCATATCGTGCAATGGGCTGTCCTACGTGTTCCAGATTGGGGTATCTGGGGAGATTGCGCTTTCAGTCGAGATGGTTCTTGCATCCAGCCTGGTGTGTACGGTCTCATTGCAGCCGGTGCCACCATGTGTGGTGTAACGAGACTATCTGTGACACTCGCCGTCATCCTTTTTGAGCTTACTGGTAGTCTCGATTACGTTTTGCCATTCTCGCTGGCCATTCTGGTGGCCAAATGGACCTCGGACGCCATTGAACCAAACAGCATCTATGTGAGTGTACAGTTTATTCCTCACAGCTGGCCAGCAACTAATCTGATCAGGACCTTCTTACCAGCATGAACTCGTACCCGTTCCTCGACAATAAACATAAGCCTATCTTTACGGAGGACCTGGCCGATATTGTACCAAGGATTCGAAAAGAACGGATCATTGACATAACGAATTCGCCAGTAGTACCTGCTACCAGCTTACGAGTCAAACTTGAACTTTTGCATAGAGCCGGTGAGCTCGACGGAGGATTGCCCATTGTGCGACATGGTATCCTGGTCGGGCTTATTCCTGCGCCTGATCTCGGATACGCTCTCGACCAACTGGAAGACGAGGCGACAAACCTGTGCCTGATGGATAGAGTTCCTAGCATCGACGAGGACGACCAATCCCATGATCCGACGGATTTCACGCCGTATATTGATCCTGTGAGTTGTACTGTGGTAATTTCCACATGAATAGTAGCTAACTGAATAGGCACCTGTTGCGCTGGACATCAAATCACCAATGGACTTGGTTTATGAGTTGTTTTCAAAGCTGGGACTGCGATATATCTGTGTCCTCAAGGATGGTAGATATGCTGGAATGGTCAGTGTTCTTGTTATTTCTTCTGCTTTTGCAATACTAATGGGTTTCTTTAGACACACAAGAAGACGTTTGTGAGATACATGCGAGAGCATGAGAAGGAAGAATGAAGCTGCAGTTTGAACAGGGTGTTTGGAGCATGGCGAGCATTGATTTTGTGATTCGAGCACGGCATTGGCATTACATTGGTGATAGCGTGTTTTTTATTCCTTTGGGCATCGGATCCGGATGCATCTATGTGACTTGGTTAACGCAATTAAAGAGTTGGTAGAAGAGCCAGTTTATTCACCCTTAGATTGGCGACTTGACGGTGTGGAGCATGGTGGCCTCGTCGATGCTCACGAAGGCATCAAGGTTGAAATTGAGACAAGAACTTTGCCAGGGTGAAAGAAGGCTATATTTCGTCCTTGTGATAAGTAAGAACTGTTGAAATTTTCTTGGATGTGTGTGTCAAAATTGTCATGGCATGCTGTCTCCTTTAACTTGCCCAAACCCTTTTTTGGTGTATATACACAAATCGTCATTGCGTACTTTCTCGTTTAACCTACCCAAAGAAAAATGGATGGGTGTATTTGAATCCCTATAGTATGCCATCTCCTTTGACTTGCCCAGAACTTTTTAGATGCGTGTATATAAACCACTATAGCGTAAGGTTCTATCTCCTTTAACCTGCCCAAAAGGGAAAGCTTCTGGATGTTGAGAGTCACGAGTAGTAACAGCAATCAGTATCTCGCAACCGACAGTCGGACGGCTCCGTAATCGGCACCGGGCCGGTTCATGTACAATACAGGAAATGCGGCTGCATAGCAACTGTGGGGGGGGGGGG